TAGTGCTTTCTTGCTTCTTGATCACGATCCAATTTTTTCTCGATGCTGACCAGGCGTCGAACAGCTTGATTGTAATTGTTGGGCAGGCGTTCATCTTCTTTTTTCCACAGGAGTCCCGTTTCATATTGACCGCTTGGCAGTTTCTTGGTAGTTTTCTCGAGGGTTTCTAATGCTCTTCTGTCGCTGGCGTTAGATGGTGAACGATTTTGGATCCCTAGAGACTCTAATTGGAAGTGTTCTCGGACGAGGTCTTCTATTTCTTCCTTGCCAGTGGTCGCTCTGCCATAATGAGTGAAGTGTACTGTGGCAGTTGTTCCTGTTTCACATCCGTGTAGCACCCACCCTAAGTTCGTGAGGGAAGCTACAGGATCTGATGGTTTGCCCTTCTTCAGTTTTCTTGTCACTATCAGTCCCCAATTGTCTTGGCCTATCAGTAGCTTGGGCCTCTCGGAGACGTAGAGGAGTTGATTTTCAATTGCCTTCAGGTGCTCACAGTTTCTCACGGTGTCCTTGTTTATGCATTGTTCGGACAGCTTCAGGTCATCGATGGTTCTTGCTACGATAGTTCTTTTTTCTTTTCTATGAGCCCCTTTTATTTTGAACTCGATCTTCTGTGAACTATCTTTTCTTAATACCTTTCCGCCGACGGTTTCGATCGTGAGTTTTTCTTACTTTCCTTCGACTCCGATTTTCTCAGCGATTGATGCGTCTAAGAGTGTGACCGTTGACCCTTCGTCTAGTAGTGCCAATACGCGAACTTGTCCTTTTGGGCCATAGAGGTTCACGGGGATCATCTTTAGGTAGGCCTTTTCTTCTCCTTTGGCGTTATGAATTGAGGCGACCTTTTCTTCTGAGGTGCTATTGGTGTCTTTTGCTTCTTTTTCTATCGACGCCGGTGGTTTGTCAGAATGTAAGATGGTATGATGCCATCTTTTACACAACTTGCAGACTGGTGCTTTACAGTTGATTCTTGAGTGTCTGAATCGAAGGCACTTGAAGCATATCTTTGCTTTCTTGGTCATATTCCATTTTTCATTCAGATTGGCTTCTTTGAACCTTTTACATTCTAATGCGAAGTGTTCTTCCCCACAGAACGGACACGACTTCTTATATTTCTCTTTTGACGCTTCTTGAACCAAATGAACGGGTTTTCTTATTCCTCTTCTTTGTTCTGAGGACGCTTCGGGCGGGGCGAAGTCTCCACACATGTCTGCTTCTGTTTCTAGGAACGCTTCGATAAGTAATAGCTCCTGAATTTCCTCATCTCTTCTGCTTCTGTGGTAGGCGAACCAACGGAACTTCATTGACGTCGGCATCTTGTCTACTATAACTCTCAGCGTTTCAGGTGAACTGAGATACTGTGGTTTCTTCAGGGCTTTGATTGTCTCGACTGCGTTCTTTACTTTGCTTGCAAATATGCATATATCGCTCGGGTTTTCGCCGACTCTTGGGAGGTTCTTCATTTTCTCTAGTTCTGCTAATGCTAGTGCTCCAGGTCTTCCGAATCTTGCTTCCAGTCCCTTAATTACTTCGCGTGGGTCTTCGGCGGTGAACAGCAGGCTTTGGACGGCTTCTCTAGCTTTTCCTTGGATCGCTATTCTAAGGCGCGCTAGGTTTTGGTTGCTACTGAAAGAAGCAGCCGTATCCTCGTATGATCTTTTGAAGGCTAACCATTCTTCGCAGGCCCCGTTGAAGTGAGGGAGTTCTAGGTGCTTCGGTGAAATGGTGTCACGTGATTTTTCTGATAGCTTTAGTATGACTGAAGCTAGTTCCTGGATGTCACTTTTCTTTTCTTCTGCCTCTATTGGTTTGTGGTTCTTATTAGGCATGTCTCCGGTCTGGATGAACCAGCGTTCGACTTCTCGAGTTCGTTCAAACAGCTCTTCTCCGGCACCATCTTCCTCTTCTGATTCCGCGGTGAGAAGTTCTAATTCCGCTTGAGCAACTTTTGACCGCGCTTCTGCCAATTCTAGTTCCCTTAATGCCATTGTCATCTTTGCTTGCGCTTCTGCTCTCTTCCTATGCGACGAGCGAACGGAAAGCGTGTCTGGATCGCGGGTCGTCTCCTTAGGGTGAGGCTGCTGCAGAGTCTTCATTGCGATACTTCTTTCTTGAATCTGCGGCGTTGGATGACTTTCTTCTTGGTGAGGAACTGACGCTTCGACGGTGCGTGTCGGGGGGTGGTATGGGTTACGTCCCCCGGTGTTGATTCCTTTCCGGCAATGTTCTTGTTAAGAAGTACGGGTTGTCTGTGTACGCTGCTGGGCGATGCTCTTGTAAGCGTCGATCGATCTGAAGTCGACGTGTTAGTAGCCGTCGTGTTTGTAGAATCACTCGGCGTAATCATGCTCCAATCCGTCGTACTGGTACCCGTAGTGGCGTTACTTTCACTCGTAGTCTTCGACTGCACTGATTTTGATCTTGTATTTGAAGGCATCTTCCTAGTTTTCCTTAAACCCGATCCGGCTTCTCGAAGGACCAATTGTAATTGCTCGTATAAGGGAGCGTCGATAAAATAGAGCGGGTTTGCTGGCGGGATGTTAACTGGAGAGCATACAGTAGCAGTTAGATGAGCAATAAATAACACTTCTTGAGAGTTTCTTCTTATTTTATTTCTTGATTCCTTATTATTACATTGCCGGATTTGGAATATTTTACCACGAAAAACGCCCCTTTTTTTATAAGCGGCTGTAACCAATCATAATTAAGAAAAAATCGCACACGGCATTAGTGAATCTATTGACCAATCAGAGCACAGAATAACCCTTTCTAAGAGAGATTTACAATTTTCTTAATAAACGTGGTAAAACATACCTTACAACATTTATATTTATTCCTAACGATAGATACAACTTATTTCTAATATTCTAAACCTAAATTATTCAATAAACCTTTATTTTACACTTATAAAAAATAAAAATAACTTCGCGGTCGCTTCACGAGTCGCTCCGGAGTAGGATAGTATTTTTTTGCCGAACATACAAGTAGCGCCGCCAAGAGGTAGGAATGTACAACACTTTTTTCAGGAATAATGCTTAAGAATTTATACAATATTTTTTCATAAGATTTAAATCTTTCTCATAATGAAATAACATTATATAGTGATTAATTGACATATTAACTTTTCTTTTGAATTACTTTAAAGGAAGAAAAATTATATTAATCACCTATATGTTAATAGCTCTTAGAGTTATGATAAAAAATCTTACTAGAAAATAAGCTTATACTTGCGTCTAATGTTCTAATCAGACCTAAATAATATTAAATAGATTCATATAAGTTACTTTAAGATAAGAATAGAAGTGTTTAATTTACTTTCCCGTTTTCAGCACTAATCAGTCTTTACACTTAGCTTTATTTACGAATAGGAAACAATTAAGATTAAATACTATCACTTAGTTTTAAATCACTGATAAGGAATAATTAAGATTAAATGTTCGAATTCACTTTGTCGTCGCTAACATATATAAAAGGGAGTATGTCCGAAATTAAAGGTTTCTTTATGTTTAAAAAAAGATACCTATAAGCTATTTTATTTTCTGATAGTTTTACTCCATAAATAAAGATTACATAAAAAAAAGTATACATGTTATTATACAAAAGTATTTTATTTCCTTGTTTGTTGTGTGTAATACATAACCAGATTTTGACCAAAGCAGAAATGAACAAAGAGAAGAAATAACTAAATAGCATAGGTAGGAGAAATTGACGTTTTTATATAAGTGGCGAAATCATTTCTAGAAGGTTATAAAAACTGTCTTCATCCATCCGGAGAAAATTAATCACGTCCTTGGATTACAGGCCATTTAGTACGTTTATGTGGCTTAATTTTTATCTCTTTTGGAGCCATTTTTTCACCCAGCAACTTCTCTTTTTCTATTTTCGAATAAATTAACCGAGATGGCTAATGCCAAACCAACACGGTGGTGTTTTAAGAGAGTCGGAGGTATTTTGAAGAACTCTACCGCATATGCATTCCGCTCCAAGTCCGAACGCGTACTGCTAGGCAGGCCCGTGTGTAAGGTCTACCCCGATAAAAGCCCCGATTTCTTTCCACCCTAGATCGCCACCGATATCGTGTCGTATGTAGCCCGCTTAAGGAATATTGCCCGCAATTATTGTTTATAAAGTCAATATTTTATAGGTCGATCGAAATAATTATTAATTTTGAAATAAAGTGGTTTAAATTATTATTTTTTAATATTTGTCTAATTAAACACCTGCCCTTGAGAAAAAAATAATTATAGCATAAATATTTTCAGCTATTGCTATGAAACAAATAGTTTTTTATGAGGCGAAAACAGCGAAATTTAACGAAATTGAGACCTCTTATTTAAGACAATGAAAGATATTTAGAAAAAAAGAAACAGCGCATTTTGGAGATGAAGATGTTTAGCTATTAACGCGCTGAATAGATTTCGCCTTTTTTATTATCGATTGCCTTATAATGGTACACGAACAAAGCTCGAAATTGCGTTGGGTGCGAGAGAGCTCTATTTACCGTTTGATTTATCTAACATAGACCACATAGATGAACCAAAAAAAAAAATTGAGCCATTACTTATAATCTGGGTATTTATGTGTTATCAAAATATTTTACTCTGAAACAATAATTTGCTGTAAAAAAAGGAAATCAAAGTGGCGCTAATGATTCGATGTGAGTCAACTTTAAAAGACTGTAGCCTTTAAAGAGCTAAAAGAATAAAATCATATCCGCATTACAATTTCATTGCATTGACTTCTGAAGCTATGATGCGGAAATCACTTTATTCATTATTATTCTTTCCAAAAAATCAAGAAGTTTTTATAATCAATACATTTTGTTTACTCACCATCATGATATTTATAAGCTACTGCATTTTTTGTTCCGGCCACGGCTCTAAAAATCCTCTCAGGAATAAAGAGACACCTGTGCCCAGCATTGGACTTATATAGGTTATTATGTTTCTTTTTACTTTTACTTTACAGCTATATCCATTGAAATAAACCTTTTTCTTCAGAACGGCTCTCGCTGGGTTGGACGGCATTACTTGGCGCAATTTTACTCCTGCTTTTGGCAGAGCGGGATGACCTCGAACCGATCCTGGCGAGAGTAGAATGGTCCACTTTGCTGTTCTTTGCCGCGTTGTTTGTACTGATGGAGGTAACTATGATTTTTTGTTAATTAAAGAAATAGGATAGACCCAGTTTGCGACAGATGATACTTACGAATCAGCTAAGAACGTTGTGTATGGAATATGAGAGAACTCTGTGACTGTTACTATCCATTATTTTCTTCTTAACCGGTTTGTAGAATTTAATACTGCATATAAACATTCTAAGAATATGTCAAAAATTGCAATTCTTACAAAGTTTATGTGCATCATCAGATAGGTCTAACTATCTTTTGTTCGTAAAACTTATTTTTGTTCCAACTACCACTAAAATAGGAAAATTTAAACACTGCTACTGTTTTAGAATGATGTATTCTCCTATAATTGTTAGTACATAGTAATCTATAGATGTAAAGCATGTGTTAGACGTAATTTAATATGTACAGCTGTTGGCGATTGATTGTGACGTAAGAGGCGATTGTGCGAAATGGCAAAAACTAAGTCGTGGCTAAAATAACTAACGAAGTTAACGCAGAATATTTTTTTAATTAAACTGTATGCCAATGCGCTAACTTTCTTCCATTTAAAACACTTACTAAAATTGGCCTTAACAAAGAACTTTGAAAGTCGAAAAGCTGCGCCATCTATTTAAAAAGTCTTTACTGCTTTAATAAGACCTTATAAGAAAGGCGGCAGAAACTCACAAGTAGATCATTCGCAGCCAGCAGCGTTCTTGGCAGTATACCGCGTTTTAGTTTCTTTATTATTTAAATAATATGTAAAGTTTTTAAGTTTTTAATACATAAAGGTAAATAAATAAAAATCAAGATAGTTTGACCGCATAAAATGTTATATATCCACACAAATCAAGAAAAACCTCATTATATTCAATGTCGATAATACCCGTTACTGGTATTTTGCGTGGATATATATATATATATATATATATATATATATATATATATATATATATATATATATATATATATACGAAGAACGAGAAGAAAAACGAGAGAGGTGTGTATGTATTTTGCCGAATGGAATTCCGTAGTCTCCGCCTACTGTTAACCTAGGGTCTTCATACTTAGGTACTTTCGAAACTGGGCCTCATATCTTGGATTGGAAGGATTACAGAATCACTCATACTGAAAGTCGGTGAGGAATCACGGCTGACCGTCGCAATCATGCTTATTTTGTGGGTAAGTATTTTTTTGTTACTTTAATAAAAATTCAAAAGCAAAATAATCCGTGAAATTAGTTGAATATATTTTTATATGAACTCAAATACTTTTTACATTATTATTAGTTTAATGTGGCCACCTCGTAGGGACAAGCAGAGTGTAAGACGCTCCTCACTAGATGGGGTGATGGTCTCGTAAGATGGATGTAGGTGGCTCTGACCCGTAATTTGTGATATTACTGAGGGAAAGTCTGTGTTCACCAGTGAACTTATGAAGGGTTGTAATGATGATAGGAAATATATTTTATGAATCAAACCACACCGACATTCCTACAGAAACATTGATTGTGATGGGTCTCTTAAGCCTCAAAGTGACGTGACCCGTGAGTTTCGAAGTCTTCCACTGTCAATCTCTTACCGTTACTCCCCTTTAACTCTGCTTTTGCAGAAAGGTGGCAGTCCTACCCTCTGCTACCTTTCTGCTAATATGTGTTTCAAGAATGTGTTTCGATCAAGACGCACTGGAGCACCGTTACGTATCCACAACCCTCACAGAATTGAAAAGGGAACTGTGCCCAGTTGTGGGTGTGGTGATGTTATACTTGTATTCTCACATGTAAGTACTACGGTGAAATGCCTCACAGTCTGTCATTTACACTTACTGACATTTTTTTTGCATCGACCATTAGACGGTTGATATATAGGCGTAGCGCAAATGGTAGATATTATATTAAGTAAAAGAATTTTAAATGCAGTATTATAGCAGGAAAATGGGTTTACATAAGAATTAAAGCTGCAGCCATATTATGGTTGTAGCAGGAATGCGTCGGCTCAACTGGGGTAGGACCACTCTCACAGAATATCAGCGTGAAAAACCAGCTCAATGCTGTTGTGTTTCGTATGGTGAGTGAAAAAAGAACCGGAGACTCTTTACTGGAAACGAGGCATTCCATCTTAAATCTCAAGAGTGGCAACGCATTTACATTTTAATTCTTAATCGTGGATAGATGTAAATGTCTATGGGCCACAGCATCCATTTATCACCAAGTGAACTGTGTGCTCGTTTGTCATTCTTATTCTATAAAAAAATATCTTTGACCTCAAGTAGGTTAAGGATCATACATTATTTGTAATTTCGCCAACAATTGGTTCTACAGTTTGACGATATCATTACATCAGAAACTATTTGTGTACCTACATTTTTCTTAAATATAATTTAATTAACTGTCAAAGATAACATTATGCTGGCGCAAATATTAATAATTAAGATCACGTAAATTAACAGAAATATTTTAATAAAAAAATAACTAATTGATTGATTGAATAAATAAAGAAGAAACAATGGCAACAAAGCATCCACATTTTATCATATTTGGTGTATCGTTACTGTGTGGCGTCGCGAGATATGTATGAAGGTCGCAAGTTTCGATGCATAATTATACGTGATCATGTAATACGCCATTGTAACTGTAACCGTACCGTTCCGCACAAAAACTCGTATCGTACGTATCGATGTATTTTGATATTGTTTTACAAGGTGATAAGTCCCTCACCATCTCTATAATAGCTGATTTTTCTCTGACCATCAAACGGTAGCTATACGCCGCTACATGGTCTTGAATAATTTTGACGTGTAAGAATACGAAATACAATACAAATAAAGAAGGCTATGCCGATACGCTGATACTCGTATGATACGATACGGTTAAGTTTGAACGCATTTTTGTTACAAAACTGCTAGTGATTCGATACGGTGTATACCGACATCCATACTTAAGATACAAGTACTCGATACGATACGCGCGATAAAGATACCTGAATAAGATCAAATGCGGAGCCGGCATTATATCGTCGCTGAAGGCTAAGAGTGTCGGTGCGCAGGTGTCGGGTATCTCGTCGGCGTTCGTGGACAACATCCCGCTGACGACGATGATGGTGCGCGTGACGGCGGCGCTGGCGGCGCCGGGCGGGCTGGCCCTGCCGCTGGCGCCGCTCGCCTGGGCGCTCAGCTTCGGCGCCTGCCTCGGAGGTAACACACCCATACCCCTCCCAGTACCACTGCAAACTCACGTGTCCATTGGGTATCTGTAACTCTCATGCAAGGGTTTCCAAAGTTTATTTAACGTTACGTGCTATTTTATTTTATATTATATTAAATTTCACTGCTGAACATAGGTTGATGAGGCAACCTATGGGGGATATTTGCAATAGTTACCACGCATGGCAAGCGGGTTGCCAATCGCATTTATTTTTTATTTTTAGTCGTTATTAGGAAAACACACAACCATCTTCTGATTTGTTTCCCTCGACATGTGATATTTTAACTATAAAAACATTACACAACTCAAACAAGTGCATATGCACCTTTTGAGACAATAATAGAAAAGAAGGAGGCAGATACCTAAAGCGTTTTGTCTTCTAGGTTCTCTATGACGGTATAATAAGCTTTATCAAATAGTAATTATGTTTCTATTTTATATAACTTGCTAGACGCGTTTTCGTCTTTAATATTTAAAGGCAGTTTGTTATATACCTACTTTTATAGACATAAAATGGGGACTAGAGCTATACAATAGCATAAAATTTATGCAACTCCAACGCCCCTCCCCACGCCCCGCTACTATAAAAAAATCGTGCCATCTCACCTGCCACATTTTACTTACCTACTTTTGAGTATTTTGGTTTTTATGAGAGTGAAGTGACGGTTGGCAAACCGTCTGCCGAGCGAAGCAATTATAGAAAAATTTCACCTAATATGATGCATTGATAAAAGCATAAAATGATTAGCTGTGTGTTTACGAAATGGTGTTAAGACGTCATACTTTTTAACTTTTTATAATCACAAATTTATGAATCCCAATTAAAAATCTCTAGAAACAGGTAATCTTATTTTAAATCCTTTCTTTAACTTACCTGCTATTCGATCTAATAATAATTAAAAACTAATTAAAGAAGAATAAAAAATATGTTTATTCATTGTTTTACTTAAGCCATAGTTAAATTTTGAATTACCTTTGAATATATTTCCTGTCATGTACCCAAAATGCTACGACTCTATCGATATCACTATAAGGAGTGCGATGTAAGGGAATCCCCGTTGGTCGCAAATATTCTACTGAAACACTTACGTTCATAATATGAAACTAATTTAACGGATTTTATCACGTTTAATTTTCAATTTGTAGAGGTTAAGATTAACGATTGTAACTACAAGCTGGATTGTAAATGTGGTCTCTCTTACATAGGACAAACAAAAAGATCTATAAAAAGCGCGTAAAAGAACATATAGCTGACGTGAAGCAACGACGGTTCGGATATTCTGCAGTCTGTGAACATGTTAAAGGCCATCCCCACCATTACATTAGATTTGATAGACCACAATTCCTCGCAAAAAATACCGATTTCTACCAAGGATGATGCGCGAGGCTATTGAAATAAAAAACATCCTAATTTCAATAGAGAAGATGAATCGGTGCTGCCATCTACTTGGAATCTTATAACTAATGATATTAAAGCCAAACCCAAGCGTGCTACTGCAAGACTTCACAATACTGTACTTAAGCTTATTTTGCGTTGATCGGACCAAAAATTAATATTCTAAAATTGACGGTAGCCAGTGAGCATGGGTGCTATAAAGCACCCGAAACGTTAGAAATTAAAAAGTCAAAATTAAACAGAATGAAATAAAATAAGCCATTACTTACCTTCATTACAATAATAATAATTCTTTAATTTCTTTTTAGGTAACGGTACACTAATCGGAGCCAGTGCTAACGTGGTCTGCGCAGGAGTTGCAGAACAACACGGCTACAGGTTCACCTTTATGGAATACCTGAAGATCGGCTTCCCAGTTATGTTAGGAAACCTTGTTGTTGCATCGGCCTATCTTTTATTTTGTCATAGCATATTTAACTGGCATTGATAAAGCAAATGCGTTTGATTATGTTAAACAATTTTTAATTTTTTTCACTTCGAAGAGCAGTTTTCAAAGATTTAATCTAGCTTGTTATTTGTTTCGATGGAGAAGTTTGGAATATTTAAAAATTATCGTATAAAAGTATGCCATTGAGACAAAGAAATATGTAATTATTGAATAGGAATACTTGGGGACCCAGTGAGTTCCTAAAGAAGTGATGATTGAAACTATATAAATAATAATGTGTTTATTTGAATACATACCATTCAACTAATCGTTTAGATATCTGAATTGCGAATAAATATTTAGAAAACAGTTTTCTTCTTTAAGAACACATTAATAATGTTCCAAATGTAGACTGAAAACACTAGTACTTTATGCTACTGAAACATATTTTCCATTATATAATCATATTAATACTAGAGGATATTTTTTGATTTTCAGAACAGTTGAATGATTATTAAGCTTTTATTTTAAGTTTCATAAATTCGATAATTTGAAGTCGGATCTTAATATATTTCCAAGGACGGAAATTTATAAGATTATTTTTGAATATCTTTTCTGTTGTTATTATATCAGTATTAAGTAAATCTTATTATGTGATATTTATGTAAGAAAACTACATTGCGGCCTATAGATACAATTCATTATCACAAGAATTCTCAAATGAATACTAAGTTAAGTTTATAATGTCTGTAAAACAGATTTGAATACGCAAATGCAGTATGCGACAGCGCATGTGATAAAAAATATCTATTAAAATTAACCGATAAATATCAATATTAATTTATTATTAATTTCATTAAAATAAAATATTTTCACTTAAAATTAAAGTTGAATAAATATTTAACTTTTTGTAGCTGAAGTACACCAAAAGCTTATGACGCGTGACGTGCGTGACGGCACAGATGTAATTTATGAAACTAGAAAACCATGGAGTGTGGTTACTGCCATTACTCTACGATAATTTTTATATTTTCTTAATATTCAATTATTATCTAACCACTTGATTCGACTACCTGCATACTGCATCAGGTAGTAACTGGCACTGGTTTGGGGTTGCCCAACTTTATCTTTGCCAGTACGAGGTTGCCGCACGAAAGTATATAAATATTTGCATATTATAATATTATCTCAAAATATTATGTATATTTTTATTATACAGAATTAATAATAACTAGTACAAATATGTCGCGTTCACTTATGTGGCATACAGCGTTGTCGTGTACTGCACGTGAGCGCAAGAAAGGATTTAAAATATTATTGAAGTTTAGTTTTAATTTGATATTTAATGCAATTGTTTCTTAACGCAATTTTAATCTGTAGGGTATCTGTTTTTAATGCATCAAGACTATTATATGATAGTAAAAAACGCAAAATATAGGTACGTTTAATTTTTTATTGAATTAAATAAAATAATATCTTATTCAAAATAATAAATGTTATGATTAATTATATTTTGCTTCTTTGATTTTGTTATTGAGTTTTGAATCAATAAGTACGAAAAAGTGGTTTCACTCAAAATTCCTGTAAATATATATTTCAAAAGTTAGGTTAAGAGGTAGGTTTTCAATGTACTTAGGTGTAAATGTTTAACAGATCCCGCTCGGAAACGATGCACGTACTATTAAATTCTCTTACGCCCCAGCCGTCACCCCCGGCATAATAATATTTACTTGACATTAAATAAAGCAATGAAGTATAATAAACAAAACAGGAATAATACAATATTTTGTGTATTTCGGTACCATCTTACCTCCTCCGCCATTTTGTATAACGAAGTTGCTGTCTCAGGTCCTATTTGATTAACTAAAGTTTTGAAGATACCCGCATTTGTTTCACTTTTTCTTGATCTAGAGAAAGAGAGATACACGCACTAAATTAATTTTACAAGAGGTTTTTTATAAAAATATCATTTTTGATTCATAAATACAGAAGTTGTTAATAACTTGAAAACAGCGCCGCCTATCGGGTTCTAGCATAACTATAAACTATTGTCTTGACAAAAGAAATATATTGTAGAAATCGGTAAAGTATTTCAGAAGTTACTAGATCCCTAACAGACGCACCAACGATAATACCGATTAACTTTTCTACCATGGGGAGAATAGAGTGCAATAGGTGTCAACACCTTCGTGGTGTGTCTATGGCATAGACATATTAAAATTAAAAAATAAGCTTTTTAATTCTAAAAAAATAAGAAAGCGAATAAACATTCCGAAATTCAATTACTTTGGACTTTACTTTACGGGTGTATAATATCAATTTATTTATTACCATCTTGACCTTGAAACAGTTAAAAAGTTTTCTTCAAATTATTAGTAGTTAATGCAAATGCATTGTCACCCCTGAGGACTAAGGTGGAATGCCTCGTTTCCAGTATAAGCATAATGATTCTCCGGTTCTCCACACTGACAAGCAGCATCAAGCCGCTATTTTATACCGGTATTATGTGTGAGCGTGGTCCTTCCCTGTTCAAACCAAACCCATTCGTGCTGCAACCATAATATAGTAGAACTCCAACTAGTTTTGTACTTAACAAATAAAAAACAAAATCCGGCAACAGCTTACCTAACTGGATCGTCGATTACGTCGTTTGATTTGTTAACAAGGTTATACCTATCCTCACGATTTGAAATAGGTATGCAAAATATGATTGATTTATTCTTATTATTTATTAATTTTTAACAACTCCAATAAAAAATCAATAACTCAACGATGACACCAAGTTAACTGTTAATGAATCCTGAAGGAAGGAAGTAGTTTAGTTGCAAACATTCAACTAAAATATAAAAAAAGAAGTGGTCCAATCTCTTATCTATCTAAGGTCTAAACGTTATTAAGTAATCTCAGCATTACTTTACGGATAAAAGTTATAGGTGCCGGAGAAGTAGCAGGATAATCCCAAACAAAACCCTCGATCTCTTTATATTACAAAAACATATTTAAGTGTTTGTTAGATTTTTTTGAATTTTCTTATAAAACCTTTAAAATTCAACTCTAGAACATGGATGAATTTGCCTCAACCGACAAGCTTGAAGGTGGATTGAAGGTCGTAGTGCCAGACGTCTCGCATCTTTGACACTGCTGCCCCGTCTGACGTAAACGAGTTACCTATACCGCCATCTTTCAGAGACTATAAGATTTTTTGTCACAGTCCCATACGAAACGAAGACCGCGGAACAAAATAAGTTGATTAAACCTTACGCCGCCACCACAGTGCAGCTGCCCATTAACATTTCCTGATGAGGCTCTATCCGAAGAACAGTGAACCCCTATTCCACAAACCGGTGTTGGCACATGGCATTGGCATTTTGTTAAGGCTAAACAGACACCGAAGAACAGAGGGGACATAAAATGATCTGAAATATAGGTGATCAACATTAGTCGATCATTACGAAAAGCATTAGGTAGTCGAAAGGGGACGTCCATAAATTAGGTGAGGTGTTTAAGGGGGGGGGGGAGGGGGTCGAGTCAAATCTCATCTAAAGCAAATAACAAGCAATTTTTTCCTGATTAAAACAAAAAAAAAAATACTATTTTGGTCCATTTAATCCAGATTGTACATGCTTTAATCTTAAGCGTATATCGTAATACGATTAAGATCATTCACTAATTCGTTCGAAAGAAAATAATTTCATTCATACTTCGACGTTTCGAATTCCGGACTTTAAAAAGCATGACGGAAAGTCATTTGCTCCATTTCTAATACGCCACTGCCTACCGATTCAACCGCTGTATGCCTTCATCAGCACGCCTTATGATCTCTAGTGCCCAAGTGTACGTGATGATTTAGAGAAAAGATGCTGCAGTACATGCGGTATTTACTTTGCATCTATCACAAGAGCTGCAGAGCACAGGCGAGCAGCCCACAAGCAAGCGCGTATGTTCCGCAAAGTGCGACCCTCACGGATTGTCACAAGATGAGCTAATGAGTTACTGTGCGCAAGCGCCAACGGCTTAGAGTAGATAGATCAGAACGAAGTTGAAGGAGCAGATGATTTTACTGAAAATCATATGGACATGTTGGTTCCAATAGTCTCTCTTGAGACCGCGCATGATTCTCCATGGACTGAATTAGAGTAGATATTCTTTTTTTTTAATCACAGTAGTCACAATTTAAGTATTCTATTGTTAAATTTTTATTACACTTATAACTCTCAGCAATATTGATTACTAGTCTTAACTAGTCGTAAAGAAAAGCACGAAGCAAATTCTTTTTATAATAACAATCCAACGCGTTTACGTAAGAAACCCACATTTTGAAAAATCTCACGTGAGATTGGGGGATGGGGGAGGGGGTTGAATAAAATCTCACGACATCTCACCAGGGGGAGAGGGAGGGACAGAAAATTTAAAAAAACACCTCACGTAATTTATGGACGCCCCCAAATGCAGTGACTAATTCTCATGTGACACTGTGTGCAACATTATTAATATGATTTGTTAAATATTCAAAATCTTTACTTACCTCCTTGTCTGATAAATTTGTGTATATGGGATACTTAAAGAAGGATTAAAGGAGTTCAAATGGATGACCAGTCACAAATTCTCGACCCTTGTTTATGGAAGCAACGACAATATTGTATTTTAAAAATAATTAGTAAATGATAACGAAATAGTCAGATAAACAAATCAAAAGTGGAAAGGACAATATTTATGTGAAATTTTTCTCCAAATATCTTTTAGGGGGGGGGGGTAGGAACAAGCTCACACAGGACATTCGGTCCTTACATATGAAATTAGCGATCAAAGTGGTCTGTACATCTGACCACTTTGTTCTGAAATATCTCCTCTTTAAATTCAAATTTATAAATTCTTTAGCTGGTACATTTGAGTTTTTTAAACAGTTATTTATTTGTTTTTTCCTTATTATTTTTTTCTTTGGCATCGCTTGTTACCGCACAATGATAAACGTGAAATATCAGTATATTTACGAGTACCAGTTCTACCGTGGCACCAGTGCTGCAGAAACAGCTTGAAGGATTAATGATGTGTACGGCGCTGGTGTCGCAAAAGAAAGCACGGTACGTTTTTGGTTTCAATGTTTTCGTTCTGGAAATGTTGACCTTCAGGACCAACCCCGTGGACGGCCGGAGATCAAAGTGGAAAATGAAGAATTAAAGGCTATTGTGGGAGCGGATTCATCACAAAAGACTTCAGAGATAGCTGCAGGCTTTGGGGTAAGTGATAAAACTGTATTAATCCACTTTAAGCAATCGACGCATCGCGCATCGGCGCAGGACAGGATTATAGTACCCAAGTGCTAGTCTAGGACTATAGTGCCCAGGCTAGTCCTCGGTGAGGCTGGCCGCCGTGACCAAAATTCGGTCTGGAGGACATTATTATTATTAGTTTATCAATAAAACTATTTATTTACAAATTAAGATTATTTATTTACACAATTACAATTCGTTTCTAAACAAAATAGAATTAAGGAAATACGGAACGTATATCCAAGAATCGCAAACGAAATGCTATATCTCGTTCCCAAGAATCATCATTGTCTCGTCATGCTAGATTATTTTAGATGAAAAATTACATGCTTTCTCAATTGTCACGGAAGTCGCAGATCGCAGTGATTGGGTCCGTCGATTCAACCGTATGGTCCATGAACGTTTCAGCGGTGAGTCGTCTGCACAGCGCGAGCATCGTCTAGGTGTTATACGAAACCGACTGGCTAATGAAAATGCCAAACCGCGTGAGCACTGACTTGTTATTAATGATCGAATAAGAACCGAACTTCCCCATTAACGTATTCAAAGACTGACTGCAATGAGAGAGCGTAATTATGAATCATTGCGAGTTGAAAATGAGGAGCATAGACTTAATCGCTTGGAGAACAGTCATAGAAATCTATTTATTGGGGCTCTAGTTATGATGAGACGTAACATTTCTATTACTGAAGACCTGGTGAACGATGTAATGGGGATCGTGTCCAAGTTTAAATGGCCTGCCCTTCGTCACGGCGAGTTACCCGATACAGTTTTTATAAAATTTGATAATAGTACTATTGGCACAAATGTGAAAGACAATGAGGGGTTAGTTGCCATAGCGCCAGTATCAATAACATATCAGGTAACTAAAGGATATGGAAATTTTGAGGGTTGCTCTTGATTTCCTAGGGATCCTATCATCAAATCCTGACCTAATGACCATGGAATCACATGGAAAGTATACTATTTTAAACAAAACCCATACAATTTGAGGGTTGCTCTTAATTTTCCTGGGATCCCATCATCAGATCCTGACTTATACCTTCCATCATCAGCTCAGCAACATGAGATGATGATAACCAGGCACCAATGACTAAATTACTGTCGAAAATATATGAAAAACATTGTATGTGCGTATAAAATTGGAGGGTTGCCCTCGATTTCCATGGGATCCCATCATCAGATTCTGACTTGGTGACAATGGGACCACCTCAGGGGTATAGGCTTTCGAATAAAAAAAGGATTTTGAAAATCGGTCCACATTTGACGGAGAACTCAGTGAGCATACATTAAAAAAAATACATACAGTAGAACATATAACCTCCTCCTTTTTGAAGTCGGTTAAAAAGGTTGAGTATGGTCGCAAAGAATTTTGTCTTTCTTTGTTGGTCAGAATGGAAATAATGATATTTTTCTGAAATTTTCGTAGTCACCACTTATGACACCCACCACGCCACCAGACGACGACGTAGCGAACATTCTTACGTCGCCACCACACGGAATTTTTCGATAAATGATCGCAATGTCAACAGTGGCTAAATAAAACACTAAACTATTTGCATTCAGAAATTTTATTTCAAATAAATCTTACTTTTCATATAACAATATCTTAACGTATTTTAAAGCTTTTTTATAAAAAATAAAACATTTACAATGGAAATGTGTGAAACAATTAGTTTCTATATTATAAATTTCATATTTATTTCATAAACTAAAAAAGTTTAACGTACAGTAGAATGGTTTGGTAACTTGCATCATAAATATAGTTTATAACAAGATTTCTAACAATTATTGCTTTTGTATTATTTCGATACACAATACAAAGAATTATATATATTTTTATCAGGAATAGCTTGTGGATAAGAGGTGATAAAAAAAATAAGAATCATAATTTTTCATTTATATTTATTTTATAATATTTAAACTTTAAAGAGAGTTAATTCAACCATGTAAAACTTTCGTCGTGTAACGCAGAAGGCCAAAATTATCTCAAATATTTATTCTTTGAAACTACATCGAGCTACGTGTCAAACAGTACGGTAGCAATCGCCATCCTAAGCATAGTAGCATCTGTGACAAACCTCCTAGCTTGGGAGAAAATGCACAGCCATCGCTTTGTTCAAACTGATTTTTTTATAGTATAAGGGTGGCAAACGAGCACACAGTCCACCTGATAGTAAGTAGTTGCTGTGGCCCATAGACATCTACATCTATCCTCGATAACAAATCAAATGCAGACGCGTTGTCACTCGTAAGGACTAAGAAGGAATGCCTCGTTTCCAGTAAAAAGGGTCTCCGGTTCTCTACACTCACCAAACGAAACACATCAGCGTTAAGCTGCTATTTGACGCTGGTATTCTGTGAGAACGTGGTCTTTCCCCGATCGAGCAGACCCATTCGTGCTACAACTTTACCAGTAATATAGCAGCGGCATGGCTCTATCACACTGTGTTCTCTTAATTGACTTGTTACAGCATGACAGGTATGCGATTTGGGCGCCCGAATCCCGTCTCTGTCCCCGCTCTTCTTTCAGTGACGTAAGGTCGTGATTCATAACTCATTTGTATACCAGCTCTCGGCGGTGATTTACATACATACAGTTTTTAATATGTACTAAGTACGAACAGGATTCATGTACATATATCAATCAGTGTTATGATAATTTGGAATTTCCCTCCCTAGTTCAAATTATATCTTAGCTGTCATGCACATAATTGTCTTGGTCTAGAACCGTAAACTGCGTAACATTGCCATTCACGCTTACTTTGCCTAAAACGAAAAAAATCCCCAAAACTCAGTTATTTTTTTACATCTGCATAACGAAAACATAGTAATTTTAAAGATTATAAAACTGGCAATCCAAGACTGAAAACGCCATTTTTGAAAACGTTTTACAGCTCACGTCAGCTTCCCACGAAAAAGGCGCAGCAGATAGTGTGGGCGGAGCCATCAATTTTTTTTTAAATAGTAGTCTCTTATGGTGAGGACATAGTTGATGCTAAGTTTGCATTTGAAGTTTTGCCGTAAACTGACACAACCATCAAATTATTTTACGTTACTGAAGACATTATTAAAAAGGTGGAAAAATCCTTAAAAATTTATAACCAGTTACTTACACTATTAAATCATTGCTACAGACGATAAACGTGTTATCAAATACAGATCATTGAGTTGTTTTTGCGCAAGAGGAGCATGTGATTGCTTTTCGCCTAAAATTCATAATTTTAAGCAAAATACAATGAGCTTCTTGTAAGAGAAGTGTCTCCAGAATTTAAAAAATAAGATAGATAAGGAGATAAAATCAAGAGCTAGAACGATAATAGACGAATCAGACACTACTTCTAACGAAGATACTGATATTAATGAGATTCAATACGCCGATACTGACGATGATTACACGAGTTTTGACGACAAAATCACTAAAGGATCAATAGAGCTCTCTATTTCTCCTATAGTGAACGAGGTAAACTGAAAAAAATAATAAAGTGAAAGTTCTATCTGATGTACGATTTACATCTGAAAATCAAGTTTATTTTAACTGAAGTAATTACGGGCCACTAACGCTTACCCGATAGACTGTACCAACTTTAATTTTTATTCTCAAAACGAGAAAGAAAATATCAATGTACAAGCTAATCTGCATTCATGTATTACTAAAGATAAAGATACCGATGTGCCTGAACTGTATAAAATAAGTGAGAGTATGTTAGTAAGATATTACCAAAGAAAGAGCTGGAAGTATTACGTAGGGCTTATTGATAAGATTGAAATCAAAGATGATGACGCTTTTTATGTAGTTCATTTTCTAAAAACAATTTAAGAACAAGATCGTAATATAAAACTCATAAAAATACCGAAAAACAAATATTTTGACATTGTTACCAACATTTCAACAGTTAAAAAAGTTAAATTAACCGCGCTTGAGAAATCAGGAGAGTACAGTGTGACAAAAGATTGTGACGAAATATATTTTAAGAGTATAAAACCAACAAAACTATATTTCGTTTTTCGATACTGTTAGTGACATGTTGTATCTCATCTAGACCGAATTTTTAATAAATATTTTTGATTTTTGCATATATTAGTTTTATACCCTAATAATCATGTAAATAATTAAGTACTTACGTCCAGAGTATGTCCGAATCACGAAATTAGGTCCGCCACCTCGCACAATGCTATCGTTATGGGCGAGTGTTCAATACTGACGAGTGCTTTTTTCTTGTCGCCAAAGCCAGGACGTGTTTTGGCAAAAAGAGGAGAGAAACACCTTTACACTGTATGTGGCGATGAAAAAGGTAATCTAATGATTTTATTTACCGGAAATGCAGCTGAGCAACTTGCCCCACCTGATAGTTTGACCCAGATGATAGTTTTCAACTACGAACGAAACCTTGCGCAGATCGCAGCCAGTGTACCTGAAAGCTGGGGATAGAAAAATTGTAAAGTGCGTAGCAGCACATTCTTTGAATAAATAACAAATGTTTTCAACCCGTGGCTTGAAGAGAAAAAATAGAGAAGTACATTATATTTTATTTCGATGGCCACAAATCACATCTTACGTTGCACCTGTCAAACTTTTGTGTATTGAAGTCATGGCTTTATACCCAAATTCTACACATATTTTGCAAAAAAGTATTCAGCCGCTGAAAGTCTATTGGAAGCAATATGTCTATGAATGGAAAATAAAAAAACCGTGATCAAAACTTAAAAAAGAAACTTTTGCACCAGTATTGCAGAAAGCATTTGCAAAACTAACAGGCGATTATCCAATGGGCAATTTGGACCTGAATACATTGATATATCCAAACTTAACCACAGAGAAGAGAAAGAACTTTTCAAACCAAACCCTGAATTAACTGCATTCGTCAAGTGTTTAAAAAGTAAGACTGTGAAAATGTTTTCAGTGTAAAAGCTGAATTCGTTTACCAACTTTTCTACGTAAACAGAAACACAGTTGATCATTGTCTCGCTGATGAAGATATGGCTTTGTATGTTGTTTGGGCCAAAAACAAAAGTGAATTTGGTTCTTACAATCCTCGAATTGATTCAGTTATAGTCAATAACCGGTCAAATTCTGAACCAACATCACCAACGACCCCTACTATGCCCCTCAGTAATTCATCTGTTAATGAAATAAAATGAAACAATGAGTTATAAAAATACAAAATACCTATCCGAAGAACAGCAAGAAACCACGATAGCCAACAACACGAAATCTACGACCCCATAAAATTATGAGCTACCGTGCCCCCACCCCAAAACGAAGACAAGGAATCCCAGTCCACTCCAATGCCTGAAAAACACCACACTACCCATGGCAGTTTAAATATATTTCAAGAAGATATCCAGTTTCAGTCTGCACCAACCACTGAGCTCGTCAACAAGTATACACCTGTCATTGAATATAATATTGTAAGTTGCAATGATATTGTTGGCATTCCATGTTCAAATACTCTAGGACTGATCCAGTTTCAGCTAAAAAAAACCATCCCAAATCAATTTTCACGAGAAAATCACAAACCAAAGAACAAAATAACGACGTTCACACACCTAGAAACGTTTATGAAGGTATTGGCCCTACAGCAGTACCCAAAGTGTCTCTAGATGGAAACATTGCTATACCAGGAACAAGCGAATACGATACCGATAAACTCTATCGGTCACTTCAAAAAAAACCTATGCCAAATCAAATCACATAAGCAAATCACGCGCACTTAGAAACGTTTTCGAAAGTGTAGCAGCTCAAGCAGTACTTAAAAAAATGTCTTTAGATGAAAGCATTGCTATAACAGGACGAAGCAACTTAGTTATACGTCAAAACAGTCCATAAATGCTGCTTTGAGAGTCATTGTACCATCTACATTTAAAAGAAACCTTTTTTTGGCCGGGAAACGTTAACGTCAAAAAGAAAAAAGGCAAGTGAGAAAAAATACCAACGACGGTAACGAGCAAACCTTGGAGAGAATACTATCAAAAGAAAGAAATGGAAAAGAATAAAAGGCTAAAAGAGCAAAAAAACAGGCAAGAAAAGAAGATGTTGAAAGGGAAAACTATCTTATATGATCTAAAATACCTTCGCCTATTAAAATACGTATGGCACCCGGGGACTGCCGCGGAAAGCTATTGCATAGCATTTTTATCAACTTATGCAATTATAATTATTTATTTATTTTATTTATGGTACCTACTTTTCCCTTAGTTGGAGCCTTACTTCAAAGTTTTGCGGAAATCGAATATATTTTTTGACAACACTCGGATGGACTTCTAATGATCAATCTTACTGGCTGGAGATGGACGGGAATTGTCCTAATTCCCAACCCGTTGAAAATTCTTGTTAACTACTAAAGTTACTATAATATTAAGGAACACACTAAGAGCCTCTTCCATTTTAGAGGGTGTATCTTTGTTATTCCTATTTTTTTAAACATGGGAGTGTGTTGCGGGCATATGTTCAGCAGAACCTTTAAAGATATGCACGAATGGGCCGGCTCGACCGGGGAAGGACAGGCTTCCACAACCTCATGAACACAGCGGGACACATATTATAGGGTCTCTCATTTAGATTGGTATGGTGGAGACCACTTGACTTCAGTGACTTCATAACTGCAGCCGCTTATCTAAGTTATGCAAAGTACTTTTAGTTTCATGCCAGCCACTTATACACAGTTATGCTTAAAGAAGTTGGATTTTTCAATAAAGTCTGTGTTTATTAAATACTCTAAATTCATGAAAGTTGCTAGCATGACAACCACTCATATAAATCCATAGAATATGCTTCTTGCAATAAACTATGTTATTGTTTAAAATATTTTTATTATCTTATAATACATGCAACTAGTCTACACGCATACGTTTAGTAGCTCGCACACAAACACCGTGCCGAAGTTTGCCGAACTTAAACGACGTTAGACGATGTTAGGTTCTGGGGTCTTAGGTTAATTTCGTTATGGAATTTCTTGATTCGGTCGCCGCGCTCAAAGCCCGCGATAAAAGCTAGGCAATAATAGCTTAAACCTCAATTAAAACCAAAAAATATTAACACCGAGGAATAAGAGGGTAGTGAATTACTTTTTTAAATGTTTTTAAAATTATAAAGTGTCCATTCTATTGCAATAATTATAATCTCTAAATTATTTTAAAAAAAAACTAGTAATTATTGTAAACGTTTCACGCGTGTGGATTCATAGGCCATTTTTTACAATGTCCTTTCAACATTAATTCTTTATGGCGAATACGGCAGTCCTATTGCTTTTCAAGAACGTATCATAGTTTATGATTAATTAGTTAAAAATAGTAGAGTAAAGTTGTTTAATTATAAAATGCCAAGTGCAAAATGGCTCAAATGAAATACACATTTAGCCATTTTAAGCATCACAACATTTAACTATACATTCCACTCAATATATAAAAAAGGAGTACTTTGATAATTTAACAGTAGCACTGCAAAACCGAAACTTATTCTAAATTATTATGAAACTAATCTTTCAGGCGACCTAGGACATAGCGGTGTATGTTCAAAAGAGGTTCCAAATATCCAAACGAAGTGTACAACTCAAAAACTGCGATTTCACTCATGATTACGCCTACTGCTGATGAAACATAATAGCCGCCTTACGTTTACAAAGCTGACAATTTATAGAAATAATGGAGTGTTAACAGGGCTGGCAGGCGCTAGTAAACTAAAACTAAATCTAGTTGCTTTGACAAAGAAGTCTTCGAGAATTGGTATACTTTTAGTGAATGGTTGTTTCATTTTTTTTAAATATAATGTTACCACCGATAACGACGCGGGTGCAATATCGAATTAATACTATTCAGGGCTCCGCTGAAGATCAGCGCTGCTGCAGCACCTGTGGTAGCATATGTTGAGACGGATCACTCACTCTTGCCAAGACTTATTTTTAATTATGTTTACCATCTTGTACCTTGTGTGTTTTTATGTTCTTATTTACTTTTAAATGTATATTTTGTGAGTGTATTGATGCTAATAAAACCTATGTCTATGTCTATCTAGAATTGGTTGGAAAAATCTCCAGTACCCAAAGTGATAATCGGTGACAATTTGTCATCGCATTTAAATGTGAACATCATTGCTAAATGTCAAGAAATCGTCATCAAGAATTCGTTATGTCATTCTACCCCAAAACTCTACTCAATGCACAGCCACTTGAGGTTTCCTATTTTGAACCCTTGAAAAAATCATGAAAGAACACAATCCTGGACTATACAGTGAAACATTCAAGTTCAAAAACCCTCAATAAAAATATATATCGTGAACTACTGTTAAGGTTAATTGATGATATAAAAATATATATCGTGAACTACTGTTAAGGTTAATTGATGATATAAAAATCAATTAGGGAAAACAACAACGAGTGAATTCTGTGCCACTGGAACTTACGTTTGAAGTATTGATGTATCTCTAGTTCAATACTTAAAAGTTTATAAAAAGCTTACTTCTGAAAGAAAATC